GTATGGATTGTGATAAGAGCTGTATGAGCCCCTAATAAAATGATTAAAAAAAAAAAAGAAAATGTGTTTTATTTAGCAATGGCAAAAAGTAGGTATGTTAAAAACAAGTGCTAAACATGTAGCATGATTTGTACCAGGCTATAAAATGACAGTTTATTAAGGGAAAGGGAAAACACAACGTGCAGTAGGTAAAAGTACCAGAAAATGGAACATGTCATCATTACGCAGGCTAGGAGTAAAGGTGTATAATAATGTCATTAAATACAAAGAAAAATAGCCCACAAATTCAAGCCAGCCTAATTACAATTAATCAGGATACTAGACACGTATTATAAAAGTCACCTTTAAACACAGCTTTGTTAAAACTCATTCTATAATAGAAGGGGGCTTCAAAAAGATTGTGGCAAAGTTCCATTATCTTTTCATTCCATTTTTCAGTCCGCTTTTTGAAGCCTCCTTCATATTTCTACAAACTCAGGTTAGCCTTCCGAGAGTTATTTTGTATGACACAGATGCTGTAACAATTTAACGCCTCTGTCGTAGCACAAACAAGATGTCAGCAAAGCACACTGTAAGTGCATTTAGTTGAAAGTAAGACCATTTCAGAAAATTGAAAAACAGTGTTATTTCATCTGGACCATAGGTTTCCAAACTTACTTGATCTACCACTCCCTTTTCAGAAAGAAAGTGGCCCCCTAGGAATTAAAAATTTTTATACTGTAGTCCATAATCTAGGCTAAAGTGTAGGCATCTGCTTTTGCAGCCCTTCTGGGAATGGCATTGCCCATTTTGGGAACACGGATCTACACACTTGGATGTTTATTCATTCACTGTAGATGCCTCATTCAAATGTAGAAGAGTTCACTTAAACTCTTCAAAAGAATGGAAAGAATATGGCTCTTAATGAAGTAGCATAATAAAAGGGTGTAAACTCGGTGATCACACAGGCTCTAACGCAATATTAAGCCCACTGCTGCAGCATGGGCAGCAAGTAGCACTGAGTTAGGCTCTCTTCTCAAGCCCCTTGTGTACTCCAGACCCAGAGTACAGGCGAAGAGAAACTAATCAGGTGTTTGCCTACCTTTTGTAATTGGCGGGGGTAGGTGGGAGGGGGTAAATAAAAACAGTATGTCAAAATCCAGAATTATTATTGTATTAGTTGGGGTAGGATAGTGTGTTAGACAGGGTTCCCCAGAGAAACAAAACCAGAATGCTAATAATTATATATATATTTATACAGATAGATATATAACATAAGAAATATACAGTTAATTAAATTATAAAGCAGTACAAATGGCTCAGTGCAACTCACCCACATGAGACAGTTGTGAGACACTGGCAGTCCTTCAAGTCTTGAGGGCCGCCCGGCAGTCCTCTGTAAAGCAATTCAGGCTATCCGGGCACAGGCAGCAAACAGCAAGGCAGGTCACCAACAGTCAGCCAGATGACAGGGTCTGACAGTCCCCAGCTCAAGAGATGTAAATTCCAATGGTATGGCGAAGCAGGTCTTGAAGGAACCTCAAATTACAGCAACACAGTCCACAGGTTAGGTGTCCCACAGGTAGTATAGCTTGCAAATTGAGGCAAAGAACAAGGAAGGCAGCCACACACTGGGTCGATGATCAAAGAGCAAGAGGCAAGAAAGGTGAGGCTTGTCGAGCCATTTATCCCTCCGCCCTTCAATTAATCCCACATGTGTTTATCAGCCAGGTTGGCGCGATAAACTAACTACCTCCGATAGGCAATCGTAACAAATGAATGTTAAATCTTAAGACTTACATCTCATTCAAGTGAAGCTGGCTGGCCACAGGCCCAGATGACACCCCAGGGCAGTAGGACAAAGCCATCCAGGCTACTTTGCTCTTGTGATTTTGCCTGAGGCGGTACTGTTTTCCCTTCAGAAGTGAGTGATTTGAGTAGCTACCCCGTGCTTCTGTGCTCCAGCCCAGGAAAGAGCACACATTCAGCGAATTGCAAGCAGAAAGAACTGAAGAAAACAAATCAAGATTTGAGTTGCAATGCTAAAGGCTTTTGTGGACAAAATATTAAGGTAAGCAGGAAGCATCACAAGAAAATGGAAGGAATGCAGTAGAATCACTGTACCAAAGAGAACCGACTGGCATTTAACCATTTCAAGAGGTAGCATATGATCAAGAACCAATGGAATTGAGAGAAGTCCAAGCTGCACTGAAGCCATTAGTAAACAACAAGGCTCCCAGAATTGACAGAACATCAACTGGAATGTTTCAACAAGACGGCAAAGCACTGGAAGCGTTCTATGCCAAGAAATTTGGAAGAACGCTACCTGACCAACTGGCAGGAAGAGATCCATATTAGTTTCTTTTCCAAAGAAAAGTCACCCAATGGAATTGTTGTGGGTTTGGATAAAAGACCACTACAATGTCCAACTAGAATTACTGAAGTCTTCATTGTCAGGCTAGCCTGGATTGCAGTGGGATGTGTTCAAAGTCCTGTCTTCCCTGACCAAGGTTCTTTTGCATTATTCAGGGAGGGTAGCATACAGAAAGCAGAAGAAAAAGCAAGTTAAAATACATACATCACTAAGTGGTACTGACAGAAGTAAAACAAAAGTATATTAAGGGAAAGTTTCAGGCACCTTGGTTTGTGATCTCATTCCTGGATTTCATCTCCACCTTGCCCTCCTCGCAGGGGTGGGAAATGGGCACTCCTGTCCCAGAGAGACAGACTTACAGCAGCTCTTGTTAAGGAGAGAGGGGTAGTTTAAACCAGAATTGCTCTAAGCAGGGCACTTACAA